GAGCGCGCAAATATTGCCGGTGGGCGGTTCTGGGACGGGGAGGGTCCGTCAACCCGTCCAATCCACCCGCCTTTAGGAGGCGAGGGGGGCGGAGGAGGGAGAAAGGACGATCGATTGGGGGTTGCACCAATCGCGGGACTCGGAGCGCCGGTGGGGCGGAGAGGGGAGGCGTGGAAATGACAGGAAGACAGGCCAATCCGCTCCCTCGTTTGCCCGATGACGGCGGGATAGGCAGAGACTGACAGGAGATGGGAGCGAATCCGCTTTCGGCGAGGCCTGCCCGCCTGGGTAGAGCATGAAAGGCGCTTGAGAATGATCCGTTAATAAGGTTCCGCCCCTCAGCATGCAAACGGCAACAGTCAGTGATTGACGGATCTGGAGGCCAATCATCCACCGAAGCCATCCCTGAGGGCGGGAACTTATTTGATTAACATAGGGTAGGCCCTGTAGGTTTCCAAGCTTCGAGAGGAGGCGGGAGGAATCCTGGGACAGAGAGGAGAGAGAACCAATCAGATTATGAATTACCTTAGCAGCTACTCAATGACTGGCAGGAGATGAGGCCAATTACCTGCTCCTAAATTCCCGCTGCCCTGCTCCTTTCTCCTCCCGGAGGCGGGAGGGGCTCCATCCCCCCCTCCCAAAAAACTTGAGGTCTCCCTTGCTGGCTGGCTGTAACAGAAAGCGAAAGCCAGTTCCCTCACGGGGAGGTGGAGACAAATAATGAGTCAATCCGGAGTGACTCCAGAGTGACTCTAATGAATCTGCTGAGCTCAGTGGAGTCACTCCGGAATCACTCCAGTCTGACCCAGCGCAGGGTCCCACCCCACTGAGCTCAGTGGAGTCACTCTGGATTCACTCTGGTTTGACCCAGAGCAGGGTCTGGCCCTGTTGAGCTCACTGGAGTCATTCCTGATTCACTCCAGATTCACCCAGACTAAAGTCTAGGCCCCCTTGAATTCAACACTCTCTCCAAAAACAGAACTTTGGTTTCATAGAATCATAGAATATCAGGGTTAGAAGGGACCTCAGGAGGTCATCTAGTCCAACCCCCTGCTCAAAGCAGGACCAATCCCAACTAAATCATCCCAGCCAGGGCTTTGTCAAGCCTAATCTTAAAAACCT